GGCCGCCAGCCCCCGGGCACGGCGTCCCTGCCCCAGGCGCTTTGAAGCTGGTTATAAAAGCAAGTTGCGCAAACCCGGGAAAGTTTTAACGCTTTGCGCCCCCGCGTCGCTCGCGGGAGCTGTGTCAGGAGGACGCTGCCCCCGTCAGACACCCCCGGGGTCGGGTCCTGGCGCCACGATCGGAAAACGAAGAGAAAGGCCGCAGCTCCCCCCGGTGACCGTGCCGGTAACGCACAGGGCCGCGGAGAGCACACCACCGCGCTGGGGACAAGTCATCTTTATTCCGTCAGTGGCGGATTTTAGCGTGAAGTAACACCCGACAGAAGTGCCCCCTACTGACGCACGGCCTTCTCTCACCATAGCGTGTTTACAAACTAGGAGCAACAAGCTTCTTGCTTGCTTCATTGAGTCATAAAAGAAAATCACCCATTTATTCTCTACTTGCATTAAAATACCCTATTTTTTAATACAAAAAATACTAAAAACATTTAATGAAAACAGGTAAAACATACAAATAGCAGCACTCATCTTTCTCAAAAGAAAAATCGCCTTCAAAGAAAATAAAAAATCCCTAGAAGTTACATCTGTTGATTGGGAAATGGCCACCTTCAGGAAGGGTGAGCTTTCATTGGGGCAGTGTCTTAAAATTGCGTAACTGCACGGCTTTTCCCCCGTCCAAGCAGCCCCCCCTGTTGCCGACACCCCCCCAGCAGAGGCGCAGGGCCTCGGTTGGGACAGGGCGAGCGAGGCACGCCGCACGCGCACCGCAGCCCGGAGGAGAAGGCAGGAGTCTGGCGCTCAGCACAGGAGCACGCTCGCTTTTGGCTGGGGAGAGGAGGCACGGGTCTTCCTACTGCAGGAAGCTGTGTGCAAGCTGACAAATCTGCCCGCAGGTGACGACTTTCTGCAGACTGTTATTTCATTTTGTTCTCACTTTCTTGATTTTAGCATTTAGAAATTCATATGCAATCAGTCATTCCTTTTCCTATGCCCACTTTCCCCAGCCTGCGCTCTCCTCTTACACCTGAGGAACCGGGTAAGACGCACAAGCAGCAAGACCACACATATTCTTGCCACGTTCAATAAGGAAGTACCTAAAAGGAGAAAGAAATGCATATGAGTGAGCGTTCCCTACTCCGGCAGAGTCAGCATGACAGATACCGGCATAAGGCGACTGCTCTCATTATGTGCATGCTCCTTTCTCATGCCAGCACAAGGAGCAAATACCTGTGACAGAGCTGTTGCCGCCAGCAGTTAGCCAGGCGATGCTATTCCCTGTCCCCCTTATATCACAAACTAGCAGAGTTAGCACCTGACTCTAAAAAATTTCACTTGCAGCTGGAAATACTTGAGGAGCTGGAGTGAAAACTCACTCCCAGCACAACCTGTTCTTCTCTGGCCATGTAACCGCGGAAGAGGCGCGGTGCTCCCCTGGCACCAGGCAAACCAGTGGTACAGCGGCTCCGCATGCGCTGGCCGAGCCCCTGGTGACAATGGCAGACCTATTGATCTAAGGGTCTGCTTTAACCAGTCAGCCCAGGACTGGTTTGTAGAGCTGTGTCTCCTTCACTGCCGAGGCTGGGATGATTGCCCCTGCCTCTTCCCAGAGTATGAAACAGCTGTGAAACTGCAGCTTGAGAGCATAAGGGCGACCGGGGGGGCTGATGAGGGTCGGTGGAATCCCACGCATGTGACTGTCCTTTTACCAGGTACAGGGAGACCGTGGTGGGTCTGGTAGCGTTGAGACCTCCTTACCCATCCATGCCCCACAGTGGGCCCCAGGAGTTCTTCACAATCCAGTAAGGAGTCCCATTTTCTTCTCCATACCCCACAGCGAGGACAGCATGGTTCACCTTGTCAGGAGTGTGCTCACATCGTGGGCTGCAAAGAAAAGGAAAAATAATGCAGATTTGTTACATGAAAAACCAGCCTATATTTAATCACGGATTAGCCGGCATTCTCGATTGCACTCCAACTGCAAAAAGAACTAATGGATACTCTGAACTTCCAGTTGTGGAGAGTAGGGAGGGAAGCCGAGAAAAGGAGATACTGCTCTGTTTTCTCACTCAGAAATTATTACCGGCCATACCTGAAGTCGGGGCGATAGGCTACATGGGCCTCTGATCTGAGCACCTGCTCCGGCCTTTTGTTCAGAATTAACATCAACATTGTCACACAAGAATGAGCTACAATGAAAAAACTGAGCAAAGTAATTTTTCCAATGAAAACCAGAAGCTCTTAGTACATCCCAGTAATGGTTTGTTCTGCCTCAAAATTCAAGTGTACTGTTCCACATTTTGCAGAGGGAATAGCAACTTCCTCGGTCTAAATACACGTTTCTTTGTATTTCCTCTGAATTTCCAGCTTTTAAATTGCACTTGATGAAAGTTGCTGCCTGTGATATAAAACAAGACAACACAAGATACAAGCTCCCATCTCTAGAGCACCTATTTTTAAACATTTTCAAATTGCAGATAACTAAAAGATCAATAATCCCCACAACAGATCTACTGTTCTTGAATCTGTTAATAGTTGATCTGGGGAGCATAGGCTGAAACCACTGGAGCATCAATTATTCCATATGCTCCGGCTTTAAATCTACCTTAGACTATAAGGCTACAAGATAACTTTACTTGGCGTGTTCCTCAAACTAGAATCCTATTACAAAGTATCTTGACCATCTGCCTGCTTTCACACCTTACATCTGCCTGTTGCTGGCACTTAACTTTGAGATTACTGTCTTTATTGCAACAGTAAAGCCGCTCAAATTCAT